ACCCTATAAAAAGAATCCTGAACAAGGAACCAATGAAATAGGTTTTGTCCTAGTTGTACTCTCAATAGCAACTTCTTTTTAGAATCCCAGAAGAGAAGATGGAGGCCTTCTGTTGTGTGTGTGTGTGTGTGTGTGTGTGTGTGTGTGTGTGTGTGTGTAAGAGATTAAAACTCAACATTATGGTTTATCAAAGAAAATAAATAAGAAATGTTATTAAAATAGATATTTTCTATTTGAGGTGCATACTTGCCTTTGGGTTGTTTGCATCAAATAGACCAGTTGAAAGTCCAATCAGCAAGGAATTCTTGTTTTTATTTTTTGGTGGTGAATCAGAGCGAGATCGAAGTGGAAAGGATTCTTCTGGTGAACACATAATTGATTGAATTTGAGAGACTACGTTCAAGTGTTTTGAAAGAACCACTCTTTGGAAAACTGGTTCTGGTTGCACAGATTTATCTACATCACATTTGGAGTGCTGAGAATCATCTATTTCAGTTCCTGTGGTATAAAGGAAAGATTTTGTGATAAGTCTATATAGTACTTAAATAGTTTTATGTGATATTGAAAAAGGCACAGTATTTAACATGGATTCTAGCAAAAACCTCCATGTCTATCAAGAAAACAAAACCAAAGTATTTATGTGATTATATTACCTTATAAATAATCTTTGGATATTAGGTTTTATTTTCAGAAAGCAGATTAATTTGCTATATACTTCCATTAAATGCAAAATATGTAGACACAAATGTAAGGAAATGTGAAAACACACTGTTTAGACACTCATATTTACCCCCAGTTTATCTTTGTTCCTATAGGTTAGATAGGAAAAATTATATTTCTCATATTTTAATTAATACTATTAAAAACAAGACAATTTACTTAATGTTCTTAGTATACTGGCTTAATTTTAGCAAGCAGTTCTTTTTGTTTTGAACATTCAATAAAATAATTGGCCAAAAATTTATTTATTTATTTATTTATTTATTTATTTATTTATTTATTTATTTATTTATTTTTGAGACAGAGAGAGACAGAGCACGAGCAGTGGCAGGGCAGAGAAAGAGGGAGACACAAAATCCAAAGTAGACTCCAGGTTCTGAGCTGTCATCAGCACAGAGCCTGATGAGGGGCTCGAACTCACGAGTGGTGAGATCATGACCTAAGTTGAAGTTGAATGCTTAACCAACTGAGCCATTCAGATGCCCCTTGCCCAAAAAGTTTTACTGCCCATGTTGCCAAACAATCCAGGTTTATTAATGAGAACCTAATGCTCTATGACTACTACACTTTTTAAATGAATGAGGTAACTGACAAGAAATGCTGTCTATTAATATGTTGTCCAAATAAAAGATTCACATTAACAACCTTCCAGAAAGTATTTAGTCTAGCACAACAAGGCTTACTTATATCAACTTCACTAAGGTGGTCCACATTCCTTGGGATTCCATCTTCAGTAACTTCATCTTGCTGAACAATGATCCTATCTTCCAACCTGCCAAAATGGATACATCAGTAAAAATACAATTTACTAGAAATAAAAGCACTCGCAAATTAAAAAAGAAAAAAGAGTACAAGTTCACCAGAATTCTATGATCCCTCTTCCATAATATTTTCCTCATGTGTGTACAGATATACATATTTTTCTTTCATAAGCACATTGTATTTTTTACCCTATTAAAACCTTCACCAATCAGTCAGTCACAAAAGCCAGCCTCACCACTTCTTGTAACAGTGGTTCTCAAAATGTGGCCTCTAGACATTAGGAACACACAGAAACTTGTTCAAAATACAATTTCTCAGGGTCTAGACTGGACCTATAAATCAAACCTTTGGAGATAAGGCCCACCAATTGATTTTAATGAATACCAAAGTAATTCTAATACTTGCTAATGTCTGAGAACCACTACTTTAAGCAATCAAAATGCCCCTTAAGAGTGGAGAATATAAAACAATCATGCTATACGAATACTGTAAAATATCATGCAGCTGTTAAAAAAAATGAAACAGAAATCTATCTGAAATGCTATATAGAATGATAGTTAATATATTATTAGCTAAGCAAAGTAATCTGCAGATCAGTTAGTATTAAATGGTGTTAAGTTTCAAAAATGGTGTGTAGCACAGTACAAAAAAAATAGAATGATATGCACAGAAATGTTTTAGTTCTTGAAGACAGTGAATTAATTAAGGGAAAAAAGGTAAAGAAGAACTAACAATTTTTATTTCAATATAGCTGGGAATTAAATTCATGTATTTTTTTAACAAAAATTTAAAGATTGGAATAATACGGTCCAAAGATTTGAAACAAATCCAGAAAAAGATGCTTGATATCACTAACCATCAGACAATGCAAATCAAAACCAAATAAGATATCATCTCATAACAAAGATAGATATTAGCTGTATCTATTGTAATCCTTTTACAATATATACAAATTAAACCATCATGCTGTATGCATTAAACTTACAGTGATACAAGTCAATTATTTCTCAATAAAAATGGAAAAAAGGAATCATTTCAATAAATATGAACTGGTAACCACCTCCAAAAAGATATCATCTTATATCTGTTACAACAGCTATTATCAAAAAGAACTAAGTGTTGGTAAGGATGTGGAAGAAAAGGAATCCTTGTGCCCTGTTGGTAAGGATGCAAACGGTGCAGCCACTATGAAAAACAGTATGGAGATTTCTCAAAAAATTAAAAACAGAAATATAATACAATCCAGTAATTCCACTACTGAGTATCCAAAGAAAACAAAAACACTAATTCAAAAAGATCTATGCTTCCCTATGTTTTTTGTAGCATTATTAACAACAGCCAAGATTTGGAAGCAACCTAAGTGTCCTTTGACAGATGAATGTGTACACGCATGCACATACTGGAATATTACTTGGCCATAAAAAGGAGTGAAATCTTGCCACCTGCATAACACAGGTAGACATGGAGGGTATTTATGTTCAGTGAAATAAGTAAGACAGAGAAACACAAGTACCATATGATTTCACTTATATGTGCAATCTAAAAAAAAAAAAAAAAAAAAAAAAAGAACACAGAAGGAAACATAAACCAGGAATAGACCTATAAATACAGAGAATAAACTGGTAGTTACCAGAGGGAAGGGAGGTGAGAAGATGGGAAAAAGGGATGAGGGTTAGTGGGAGGTCCAGCACTATTTACAACTGACAAAAGGTAGCAACAATCCTGGAAACGACCCACCATCATCTGCTGAATGCCCACCAATTGCTGAACGGATAAAAATATATGGTATATTCCACATAATGGATTTTCAGCCATAAAAAGGAATGAAGCAGTGTATATCCTACAAAATAAACTTTGGAAACATTATGTATGGTTAAGTGAAAGAAGCCAAATACAAAAAGCCACGTACTATATGATTCCATATGAAATATCCAGAATAGGCAAATCCATAGACAGAAAGGAAATTAGCAGTTGACAAAGGCTGGGGGAAGGGAAAAACTGAAAGTGGCTGCTTAATGGGAGTCAGGGTTTCCTTTTAGGGAAATGAAAATGTTCTGGAAGCACATAGTGGTAATGGCTACACAACACTGTGAATGTACTAAATACTACTGAATTATACACATTAAAATGGCTAAAATGGTAATTTTATGTTATATGAATTTCACCTCAACCAAAAAAAAAAAGTAATATTCCTTTTAGAATTCCCCTAACTGCTCAAATCCTAGTTGACTTTACTGTTATCAGTTTGGTATATATCTTACCATATTTTTCCATTTTAAATTTTAAATTTCCATTTTTCCATTTTAAATTTACATAAAAATAATATAGTGTTAATATACAGAAATGCTTTTTTACCCAATATCATTTTATTTCATTAATTATTTGATATTTGGGGCATATTTACATATTAATACATGAAGTAACATTTTACTATTTAAAGTGCTGTATACAATACATAATGCAGCATACAGAAACTATTTTTGGCGACTTCCTTATTGATTATTTAGATTCTTTCAGATTATTTGTTGACTTTCCTACAATAAACATTCTTGCATATGCCTCTTTGTACCCATGTGTGAGTAATCTTAGAGTAGATACCAAAAAATAAAAGATATATTTTATACAAAATGTACATTTTATTTATTTTTTTTTTCAACGTTTATTTATTTTTGGGACACAGAGAGACAGAGCATGAACGGGGGAGGGGCAGAGAGAGAGGGAGACACAGAATCGGAAACAGGCTCCAGGCTCCGAGCCATCAGCCCAGAGCCTGACGCGGGGCTCGAACTCACGGACCGCGAGATCGTGACCTGGCTGAAGTCGGACGCTTAACCGACTGCGCCACCCAGGCGCCCCCAAAATGTACATTTTAAACTAACAAAACTGGGAAATGGATCTCCAAGTTGGCTCTCCCAATTAATATTCATATTCATAATGTTTCAAAGCACCTAATTCCCAATCCCTCACCAATATTTGATGCTATTACTTCCCTTCCTCCTGGCTTCATTTTATTTTATGAAGAAACTTTCACTGGATACACCTAAACTCTGGTCTGCCTTTTATTTACTTCTCTCCTTTGAGGGAGAACAAGTATCTGACATTCATACATCCATAGTTCTTCACTGAGTAAAGTTAGTCAGAACTTAGGAGTGTGATGTCTTTTTTTCCTCAGTAGTATTGACTCTCTATAATCCATAAAGTACCATACAATTGTATTTACTAACCATATAATATGGTTTTCTCCTTTGATAACAACTATATTCATATTATTTTCCCACTTTTTTCTCTTGGACTTTTTTGTCTTTTTTCTTATTAACTTACATGAATTCTTTATGAATTCTGGATATTAATTATTAGGTTGCCTCCCATTTTTTGACATTTAGGTCTTTAATAAATTTGATATTGTTTTGTTGAATGGTGTTAGAAACAAAACTAACATTTTTTTTTCCAAATCGTGTTATTTTAAGTGCTGCATATGCTGTGTAGTATACAGAAACACAGTATTTTTTAACAATTTCCTTATTAATGATTATTTAGACTATTTTATATTATTTGCTATGATAAGCATTCTTGCATACATTCCTTTTTGCCCATCTTCAAATCCAGCCCATCTCCTGTTTTTATATATAAAGTTGTCTTGAAACAGCCACACTCATTTGTTTATGTATCATCTATGGCTGCTTTTGCAATACCTAGGCAGAGCTGAATAGCTACATCACAGACCAAATCGTCTATTTGAGGCTAAAATATTTACTAACTGGTTCTTCTTCTTTTTTTTTTTTTAATTTTTTATTTATTTTATTTTTGAGACAGAGAGAGACAGAGCATGAGCAGAGGAGGGGCAGACAGAGAGGGAGACACAGAATCCGAAGCAGGCTGCAGGCTCCAGGCTCTGAGCTGTTAGCACAGAGTCCAACGTGGGGCTCGAACTCACAAACTGAGATCATGACCTGACCTGAAGTCGGATGCTCAACCGACTGAGCCACCCAGGCGCCCCCTAACAGGTTCTTATAGAAAAAGATCAACTGTCCCTGCTATAGATCATGGCAAAGGAAGAAACTTCTAATTACTTTTTATGAAGGAAGCATAATAAGAATAACAAAATCTAACAAAGATTTCTCATAACAAAAGGAACTGCAGATGATTCTTTGCAAATATTAATATAAAAATCATAAAATACATAAGTGCATTAAATAATATGTCATGACCAAGAAGAGTTTACTTAAGGTATGCAGAATAGTTTATATTAATATATTAATATAATTAATTATACAGTTAACCCTTAAACAACATGGGGGATGTGGTACTGATTCCCCCATGCAATCAAAAATGTGCATATAAAATTTGACTTCCCCCCTGGGGCGCCTGGGTGGCTCAGTCGGTTAAGCGTCCGACTTCAGCTCAGGTCATGATCTCACAGCTCTTGAGTTCGAGCCCCACGTTGGGCTCTGTGCTGACAGCTCAGAGCCTGGAGCCTGCTTCTGATTCTGTGATTCCCTCTCCCCCTCTCTCTCTCTCTCTCTACCCCTCCCCTGCTTATGCTCTCTCTCAGTCTCTCAAAAAATAAACGTTAAAAATTTTTTTTAAAAATTTGACTTCCCCAAAACTGAATTACTAATAGACTACTGTTGACCAGAGTGTTAATGATAACAAACAGTTGATAAATACATATTTTACATGTATTATGTGTCATATTTTTAAAATAATACCTAACTTTTAATTATTTTTTCAGTATTTCAAGCTACACAGTTCACCTACAACTTCTTTCAAATTAGCATGAGTCTTCAAAAATTTTCCAATATATTTATTGAAAAAAAGTATATGAAGACCATGTATAAAAAGATCAATGCAGTTCAAAACAGTGTTGTTCAAAGGCTAACTGTACTAATAAATAAAGGAAAACATTTATATGAACGGTTCTATAGAAGCTGAAAAGTCATTCAATAAAATTCATTCCTGACGTTTTAAAAAATCAATAAAATAGGGGAGCCTGGGTGGCTCAGTCGGTTGAGCATCCGACTTCAGGTCAGGTCATGATCTCACAGTCCGTGAGTTCAAGCCCCACATCAGGCTCTGTGCTGACAGCTAAGAGCCTGGAGCCTGCTTCTGATTCTGTGTCTCCCTCTCTCTCTGCCCCTCCCCTGCTCATGCTCTGTCTCTCTCTGTCTCAAAAATAAATACATTAAAAAAATTTTTTTTAAACCAATAAAATACTGATACCTATCTCAGTTAAAAAGTATAGTTATGCCTAATGAGGATTCACAACAGAATCATCTTCACTAAAGTCAAGAAAAACACACAGATACCCCCTATTTCCAATATTTAACATTGTATAAAAGATACAAAGACAATTACAGAAAAAAAATAGTGTTAAAAAAATTGGAAAGACATAAAATCATCACTTTTTTCATATGATTATATATCTGAGAAAAGCAAAAGATTCAACTGAAAATCTATCATGAACAATAGTGGGGTACAAAATCAATGTAAAGAAATCTACAACTTTCTAGTTACAAGATCTCATAGAAGAATAGGGACCATTTATAACACCAAACAAAAGATAATTTATCTAGTAACAAGCTTACCAATAAAAGCGTAAAACCTAGATGAAGGAAACTATAAAAATACTCAAAACTTCTATCATGTTCTTCATGGACAGGAAGAAAACAACAGTTGATTTTCCCTACATTAATTTATGAATTTAACACTCCACTAAAATACCAAGTGGTATTTTTTCCTAGGGGAAAGTGGGTGAAATTTAGTAAATTCTAAATTCAAATGAAATATGACACAAGCAAGAATAGCCAAGAAAACCAAAAAAGAAAAACAATGAAAGGGAATTAGCCTTAAATGATCTTAAAATATATTTTACATTTTAACTGAAATAGTGTGTACCAGCACATTGTATAAAGACCAATGGAGAAAAAATAAAGACAGATCAATGGAATAGGGGGAAAAAAGCATAAGAACAGCTCAAATAATTAAGATAGTTTAGTACATATTAAAAGTGGCATTTTTAATCTGTGCAGGAAAGATGGACTTTTTAATAAATGGAATTGGACAACTGGGTAGCCATCTGGAAGAAAAACTAAATCCATACACCAGGATAAATTCCAAATAGATCAAAGATTTAAATGTAAAAAGTGCCCATGTAAAAGTACTAGAGAAAAAGATTGAAAAATTTCTTGAGAACCTTAGAAAGAACAAAGTATTTCTGAATGATTATTAAAATCCAGGTAAACATGACAACTAAAACAAACAAACAAACAACAAACTTCTGCGTGGCAAAAAAATATATATATAAATGGTCAACAGGGGGAAAAGTGTTGCAACTCACATAATAACCACAGCAAGTATTTCTGATATTTACACTTGATTTTAGCCAAAAGGCCGAGAAGCGATAAGTATTTCTGATATTTAATGAGTTCTTACTAATTTATAAAAGACCAACAACCAAATTTTTAAAATGGGTTAAAGATATATACAGAGAACTCACGGAAAAGGAAATACACATGAAATTTAAACATTTGAAAAAATGTGCTCACTTTACCAATAATAAGAGATAAACTAAGATATGATTTCTTAACCTATCGGATTGGCAAAAATAAAAAACTTTGATACTAAGTTTGGCAAGGCTAGGGGAAATGGGAAATGGGAGGTTTCATACATTCTTTCTGAGGATGTAAGTTGGTACAAACCCTGGGAAGAACAATAAATGAATTACAAATGCAATTTATAAAAACACAACTGACCCAGTAATTATACTTCTATGTATCTATCCTACATGATATATACACAAAAGGTTATTCATTGCAACATCATTTGCAAGATCAATTAGTGTAGAATAACAATTAATGTGGAAAACTTATTGAGTTGTGGTATATCCATACAAGGGAATACCAAGTAGCCATAAAATAAGAAAAAAAGATGAAGTTTTCTACGTATTAATATGAAAAAATTCCCAGGTTACTGACTAAACGTAAAAAAGGTGAAAGTACTGTATCCATTATACTAGCAACTTTATTTAAAAGGGAGGGAGACTATACACTTTTGCTTTGTATAGATTAAAAATATCTGGAAGGAGGAGACAATGGGAATTTGCTGGATGAGGACAGAGTAGGAAAACAGACTTTTTTCTCTATAACTTTATATACTTGATTTCTGAACCACTTGAGTGTAATACTTTTCCAAATATTAAATTATTTATAAGGTATTATAATAATAGGATACAAGGCAGTATTAGGTTATTACAGTATTTTAGATAAAGGTATTACAAAAGGGACCCACATTTTGAAATGTAAGGAAAAAGAGGCAACATACTCAGTTTCCTTTGTATCTTTTATCTCACTAATCCATACATCAATAATCGTGCATGGCAAGCTACCATTTTTGTTTGCTCCATCTGGCTCTTGTAGAACTTCTGTTTCCAAGCCATCAGGTTCTGAAAAGCAAAAACATAACAATAAACATGTCTCAAAGCAAAATCCATATATAGAAATTTGTATAAATTTTCTACAAATGATCACTACCTAATTTTAGGCTAACATACTAATTATAACAAAAAATTAAATATTTTATCTGTAGATCTTTAATCTTGTTAACTCCTGGTTGATATTTTCTTACAGTAAATATTAATGAGAAAAGTTACTGTCTTCATTTGTTGATTTCTCTTTTTCCTCTCCAATTCAGATTCTCAATGCTCTTGTTTAAGCCACCATCACCCTCTCTTTTTTCCTGGAATCCCGGTAATCTTTCATTCTCTATTTTTAAAGTTTCCAAATAGCTTGTCCTAAAAGATAATTGATATTGTGCCAATCCTTAAAGTTTTTATCCTTTATTCAAATGATTATTTTTTTTGCTTACTTGTACGAGGTAAGCACTTGGGGAAAAAATCTTTTATTTTTCAGTGAATAATTATTAATTAGTACCTTAAGTCATACCAATATGACTTACTCTACAAACTAGATTTGTGATTGTATTGCCCTCAAAGCCTAAGGCTCTTTGTAGACAATGTTTGCCAACTTGCACTAAGCTGTATAGCCTCTATTATATGCCTAACAGGGTTTTGGTTGTTGTTGTTGTTGTTGTTGTTGTTTTTAATAAAAGGCATAAGGTACCTACTAACTATACTTCTATTAAGTAAAACTATTTAAGTTGCTGTGGTGAGTTAAAGATGGTTACACATCTAGCAAGGTCTAACATTCCTCTCATCTAGAAGGGGCCTCTACCTCCCCTCCCCTTGAATTTGGTCTGGCACTGTGACTGTCTTAACCAATTGAGTATAGTTGAAATGTTGCTATGCCAGTTTCAGCTCTAGTCTTCAAGAAAACTGGCAGCTTCTGCAATGGACTCTGCAAGCCACCATGAAAGAAGTTTATTCTGGGAAGACCACATGGCAAGTTCCTGAGACTAAAATAAGGAGAGGGAACCACCTAAACAGGCCCAGGTGAGCTCTGCCAAGACACCATGCATGGGAATGACACCATCTTGCCCCTTCCTGCATAAGTCCAGCTGACAGGTGAATAGCATTGAGTGGTAACGATGCCACGTGGGAAAGAACTTTCCCAATTCCTAACCCACTAAAGCATGAGATAAAATTAGTTATTTTAAGCCATTAAGTGTGGGGAATAATTTGTTTTGCAGGAACAGATAACTGAAACAGAATTTCGTATCTGACAATAGGGTGCTAACACAACAAAAGCTTAAAACATGTGCACTGGTTTTGGGACTTGGCAGCAGGCAGAAGTTAAAAGTGCTTCAAGAGGAGACTGTTGATGAGAGACTGGACAGTGAAAAAAATTTCTGGATGCTAGAGAAAAGGAGATTCTTGTTATACAGTGGCAGAAAATTTGGTACTTACAATAACAATGATGATAGAAAATATACCAAAGAGATTTAATGATCTAGCTATGGTGCTATGTAAGCAGAATATTAAAAATGTCAACTAGCTTCTTCAGTAGCCTCTGATAAAGCTCAAGAAGACAGAGATTAATTGAAGAAAGAACTATTTAGTTTATGGCAACAATTTAGAAGAGAAAGCCTAAGTTAATTCTTTCCAGGCAACAGGAGCTTACGGGAAAACATGGCCTCAAAACAAATACTGAATTCAGGGCAGTAAAATGTGGTCTCAGGGCAAAGATGAAGTCAAGTGTATAGACGTAAGACCTTCTGTTATGGCACAGAAAGATTTAAAGGCATGCTTCCCAGACTCTCTTTGCTAGACAAAAGGATTTTTAAGAATCTCAACAGCACTGTCTCACAGCTTCCTATGGGCAACTGAAAGAAGAGAGGGGCCAAAGAAAAAGGAAAGAAGAAAAGAAAGGAAGGAAGAAGAAAATAAGGAAAGAAGGAAGAAAAAAAAAAGAAGAGTGGTCAAATATAGTGAATGTCGATATCATTCATACAAAACCCACAAAATTACTAATTTTCAACTTGCAGAAACACCATCAGCTTGGATGGCAAAGGAAAGAAAGATAGTTTAGAAAAGCCCTTGAGGGCACCAACTTTGGTGCAAAGAAAGCAAGCTAAATTGCTACGCCTGGCTGCCTTTCAGAATTTCTATGGACCAATGATTGATATGTGTCCCCCATTTTCCTCATTTGTGAAAAGTAGTCTCTATTTTTCTTTCAATACTGAATGTTAGATATATAGAAGGCAAGTAACTTCTCTTTTTTGCTTATAGGTCTTCAGATTAAGAGTAACTATACTCAAAGACTTATACCCAAGAAAACTCATCTCTATATAGGCCTGACTTGGATAACATCTTTAGGCTTTGAGCTCCCAACCTTTTTTTACAGTTTATTTCTTTATTTTGAGAAAAAGTGAGAGACCAAGGGGTGGGAGGAGAGAGAGAGAAAGAGAGAGAGAGAGAGAGAGAGAGAGAGAGAGAGAGAGAGAGAGAATCGCAAACAGGCTCTGCAGCATGGAGAATGACATCAGGCTCGATCTCACAAACTATGAGATCATGACCTGAGCCAAAATCCAGAGTTGGATGCTTAGTTGACTGAGCCACCCAGATGCCCCCTAGGCTTTAAGCCCTTTAAATAATAAGATGAGGCTTTAAGAAGGGGTGAGTGCATTGTGCACGTGAGGGAAAATGTAAACAATTTTTGGCTAGTGGCAGACTATGGGATATTAACAGCTGCAAATTATTTAACACTCTTAATTTGGAGAGTGCTTCATCTCCGTGTGGCTTTAGGCTGGCCTTGTGACTGCTCTGACCAATGAAGTGGCAGAAGTGATACTGTGCCAGTTGAGATTAGCTTTTAAAAGTTCAAATAGCTTTTGCCTAGGATCCGTGAGCCCTGGCCCACCATATAAAAAGTCAGACTACCTTGCTGGAAAGAGCATATGGAAAAGGTATGGAGACTACATGAAGAGCGGAGGGGGGGCAGTCTTAACACAGCCTTCCAGCCATATCTGCAAAGACAACAGTGAAGCCATCTTGAACCCATCAGACCATGTTGCTGACTAAATACCACTAAGTGATACCAGAGATAAAAGTACATGAATTACAAAAATTAGGTTAGTCAAGCCTTGACTCAACTCCTGATACACAAAATAATGAGATATAATAAAATCATTGTTGTTTTAACACTAAGTTTTGGGGTGATTTATTATGCAGCGTTTAAAAATCCACCAGTTATTAAACATAGAAAAACATGAACCTAATTTGGGATGAATCACCCAAACATATACACATGTTTTGATGATTTGTTTATAAAGACCTGTTTATATAGAAGAAATTAAGGTATTATTAAATTGAATACAGCTCATTTTGACCTATTAAAATACCATCCACATTTCCTTCTGGTTTCAGTGACGTCTGTGGAGATGCCTCATTAAACTCTGGACTGTTTGTTTCAACAGAAGAATCAACAGTAGCTGATGGATTCATTTCAAGTGAAATATATTTTACTTTTTCTTCTCCAGTAATTAAAGGTTTGTACTTCTCCCTTTCAGGAGAAATCTCTGAAACAACAACAACAAAAAAGAAAAATCATGCTACATTCTCAAAATAACTTGAATTTTACCTGTAACAGCATTTACAGCAAAATTCAAAAATCTCATTCTTACAACAAATAATTAGAGTAAACGGTTATGTATAAAAATTGATAAATGATTAGGCATGTGATAGCTAAATTTCATTTTAATTATACCTAATGATGTTTAGGGTGAGTAACATATAGTTTACTTTCTCTCTCCTTTTGGTGAAACTAATATTTATGGACCAAAATGTTGTATTTTAAATCATTAACGAATTGCTTTTATTTGTTTCTGGTAATTGCTAACTACTTCCAATTGCTCAGAAATTCCCCATACTTTTTTTTTTAAACTTTTTTTAATGTTTTTATGTATTTTTGAGAAAGAAACAGTGCATAAGAGGGGGAGGAGCACAGAGAGAGGGAGATACAGAATCTGAAGCAGGCTAAAGGCTCTGAGCTGTCAGCACAGAGCCGAATGTGGGGCTCGGACTTGTAAACCGCAAGATCATGACCTGAGCTGAAGTCGAATACTTAACTGACTGAGCCACACAGGCACCCCCCCCCCATACTTTTAATTGATGCCAGGAGAGAATGGATTTACCTCAGAACAACTTATTGCAATTATCTATAAGACAAACAGGTCACTCTCATTCATTCCTTGAAGACGTTACTTTCTAGCTCATAGTCAGGAGATCTCCCCAACACTAATTCTTTCTTAACTAATTTAGTTGATTGCTGGAGTTCCATCAAGAATCCTTCCAGTCTGGGCCTCTCAATTCCTCTCTAATGAGGAATTTTCAGTGTTAAATATTCTACCTTCTAACATCCTATTTTTCCATTTATCTCCCTCTACTACCCCAACTTTAAAAATGTTACCCAACCGTACCTACAATGCCCTGATACTATAGAAACATATAGAAATGTTTACATATATATATACACACATATATATGTGTGTGTGTGTATATATATATATATATATGTATGTGTGTGTATATATATATAAGCATTTTAAGTTTTTTTATATACACACATATATATGTGTGTGTATATATATATGTGTGTGTGTATATATATATATATATATATAAGCATTTTAAGTTCTTTTCTTTTTTTTTTTTTAATATGCAATTTATTGTCAAACTGGTTTCCATACAACACCCAGGGCTCATCCCAACAGATGCCCTCCTCAATACCTATCACTCACCCTCCTCTCCCTCCCACCATGCCCCCTCTCCCCATCAACCCTCAGTTTATTCTCAGGTTTTAAGAGTCTCTTATGGTAAAACCCACTTTCTGACATGTGTCTTCAACTCATTTTACCCACATGGAGAAATCCCAACCCCTTATATATTCAATTTTCTGTGTATTATGTTTGCACATACATGGCTGAAATAAGTGGGGGAAAAAAGAGTCTGGCTTACTGTTCTCAATTTCAAATCATTATCACTAAAGTTAAGTGGACACTTTGTGTTGCTGGTAGTCCTACCATAACACCAGAATACCAGGAACTGTGCCTATTTCGGTTAACTTCCTTAGGAAAACAAGTTGTGTATGAGTGTATTTCAGTTATTTTACCTTGTATTTCTTCCTAGTCAATCAAGAACTAAACTATAGTGTTGCTCATGTTTTGAATATCTTCCCTATACCAATGCCTCATCAACAAATTGTGATAGAGGTCACATCTGTGTTTTTGCTCATTCAGCTACTGTTCTGCTATAAAATCATGTCTACTAAAATCAGGAACAAGGATGCCAGTTAGCACCATTATTAAAGATTGCTTTAGAATGCCTAATGAATGTAGTAAGAAGGAAAAGAAATAGAATATTGGATAAAAAAAACACTAGTTCTTATCAATGATGATATTGCCCAGACATTTGGAAGATCTAAAATGTCAAAGGAAATAATGTATTTAAAAAAATAATTCAGTAAGCTGTCTGCATATAAAATTTTACATTGATAGACACAGAGAAAGAAAGAATCACTTTATTTAAAATAGGGGCTCCTGGGTGGCTCAGTCAGTTAAGCATCTGACTTCAGCTCAGGTCATAATCTCATAGTTCATGGGTTTGAGTCCCCCTACCTCGGGCTCTGTGCTGACAGCTCAGAGCCTGGAGTCTGCTTTGGATTCTGTATCTCCCTCACTATTGGCCCCTCCCCAGTTCACACTCTGTCTCTGTCTCTGTCTCTCTCTCTCTCAAAAATAAATAAACATTAAAAAATTTTAAAAAGATAAACTAGAAATAAAAACTTAGAAAGGGAAATAGGAAAAATGTCATCCATAATAAAGACAAAAATACACACATTGCACAAGAATCAATTTACTGAAAAAGCTGTAAGAACTTAAATGAAGAAAACAAAATGTTACTGACAAACACAAAACAAGATGGCACAAAGATTAAGACATACTTAAATTCTTGAATAGCATAAAAATAACATTCCAAAAATCAATATATAGATTTAATATGATTCTTTTTTTAAATGTTTATTTATTTATTTTGAAAGGGAGCACAAGCAGGGGAGGGGCAGAGAGAGAGAGAGAGAGAGAGAGAGAGAGAGAGAGAGGGAGAGAGAATCCTAAGCACGCTCCGTGCTGTCAGCACAGAGCCTGACATGGTGCTTGAATTCACAAACCATGAAGTCATGACCAGAGCCAAAACCAACAGTCAGAGGCTCAACTGACTGAGCCACCGAGGTGCCCCAAATTTAATTCTAATCAAAATACCCAATAAAATAAAATTCGTTTGAATAGTAACTATCAAAAAAATAATCCAGAAAAATGTTAGATTTCCAATTAGATTAAGTGTCATGCATGTGTGTGAGTGCCAATGCATACTCACATGCATGCGTTGTCTATCTAAAGGATTTAAAAATTTGGAAACCTTTTGACCCATTAAAGAAAATTCAGATGATATAAAGAAAAAGACATATTTGCATGAAAATTAAAAAAAAATCCTTATGGCCAAAAAAAGCATAAGTTAATTAGCAGCATGTGGGAAAAACCTGTGTTGATATACTAGATATAGATTATCTATCCCAGATAAAAATTCACACACAAAAAAACATGGGCAATGCCATATAAAAAGGGCAAAGAATATAAATACAATTTATAAAGAAGCAAATCAAAATGGCCAGAAGAATATGACAAGGGAATTAACTACAATCAGAAAATTACAATGAAATCCATTTATAAGACTGGTAACAACAAAAAAAGTGATTAATACTGACAAAACCTGTTTAATATTTGACAATCAATCAACGGTGTTTTCCACGTTAATATGATAAAGAAGAAAAATCATACAATCATCTCAATTGATTCAGAAAAAGAGTTTAAGTTTAATGCTCTTCATAAAACAAGACTAGAAGAGAATTCCTTAATCTTATAATGGATTTTTTTTTTAATGTTTATTCATTTTTTGAGAGAGAGACAGAGAATGAGTGGGGGAAGAGCAGAGAGAGAGGGAGACACAGAATCTGAAACAGGTTCTAGGCTCTGAGCTGTCAGCACAGAGCCTGACGTGGGGCTCGAACTCACGAACCACAAGATCATGACCTCGCCAAAGTCAGATGCTCAACCAACTGAGCTACCCAGGCACCCCAATACAATGGATATTTAAATAAAAGACTTGAGCTAATATGATATATTTACCTCCTTGAGTCAAGACCATGGCACTTCTCTATTCAGCATTCTATTGGAAGTCTTAGCATAAGAAGTGTAAGAATTGTAAAATATAAAATAACTGTTTTTTAAAATGTTTATTTACTTTTCAGAGAGAGAGAGACATAGCAGGGGAGGGGCAGAGAGAGAGGGAGACACAGAATCTGAAGCAATTTCCGGCTCCAAGCTGTCAGCACAGAGCCCAATGTGGGGCTCAAACTCAAGAGGTCATACAAGATCATGACCTGAGACCAAGTTGGGACACTTGACCGACTGATCCACCTAGGTGCCCCAAATAAAACATAATATTACGGGTTTACAAAAATAATAACAAGAGAATCTACCAATACATTATTAGAATTAATGAAGGAACTTAAGCAAAGTTGCTGAATATAAAGTCATATACAAAAGTAAATTATATTTCCGCTTTTATACATGAGCCACAGTTATAAAGTAAAATTTCAAAACAGATGAATAAAACAATGGCATCAAAAATTATATAATTTTTGGAATTATCTAACAAGATATATAAAATACCTCTATGGAGAAAACTATAACCTACTGTTGAGAGAAATAAAAGATTTAGATATATAGGAGGATATAAATAGTCATGGACTGGAAAAGTGAATATAGTAAAGATATCAATTTCCTCCAATGTGTATATTCAATATAATCCTAAAGAAACCAACATGATAAGCCTATGCATATGTTCAAGAAAACAGAGGAAGAGATGGGCCAAATGGCTAAATCTATGGGTATTTTCAACAGAGAACTGAAATCTATAAAAGAATATTAAATGGAAATTCTAACATTGAAAAATGCAATATATGGGGCACTGGGTGGCTCAGTCGGTTGAACATCTGACTTCAGCTCAGGTCATGCATGATTTTGTGGTTCGTGGCTTCAAGTCCCACACCGGCTCTGTGCTGACAGCTCAGAGCCCGGAGACTGCTTCGGATTCTGTGTCTCTCTCTCTGCTCCTCCCCTGCTCAGGATTGGTCTCTCTCTCAATCTCTCAAAAATAAATAAACATTAAAAAATTTTAAAAAGAAAGAAAAATGCAATATCTGATATTACAAACTCACTGGATTTACTGAGAAGACAGCAGAAGATTAGAGAACACAGAAGACAGATTTAGTGAAATGACAGATCAGTAGAAATACTGGCATAGCTTGTTTTACTGCACTTTGCAGATAACTGTATTTTCTTATAAACGGAAGGTTTATGGCAACCCTGCATGAGCAAGTCTGTCAGCGCCACTTTTCCAATAGCATGTGTTCACTTTGTGTCTTTGCTGCATTTTGGTAATGGCAATATTTCCAACTTTT